GGAAAGGCTGTTGGTCCAGATGACATACCTGTAGAGATGTGGAAGTGTCTAGGAGAGACAGCAGTGGAGTTTCTATCTAGTTTGTTCAACAGGATTTTAGAGAGTGAGAAGATGCCTGAGGAATGGAGGAGAACTGTACTAGTGCCGCTCTTTAAGAACAAGGGTGATGTGCAGAGTTGTAGCAACTACAGAGGTATAAAGTTGATGAGCCACACCATGAAGCTAAGGGAGAGTCATGTAAGTTAGGCTAAGAAAGGAAGTGAATATTTGTGAGCAGCAGTATGGCTTCATGCCCAGAAAGAGCACTACTGATGCAATTTTTGCTCTGAGAATGTTAATGGAGAAGTATAGAGATGGTCAGAAGGAGCTGCATTGCGCCTTAGTGGATTTAGAGAAAGCGTACAACAGAGTGCTGAGAGAGGAGCTATGGGACTGTATGAGGATGTCGGGAGTGGCAGAGAAGTATGTCAGCGTAGTTCAGGACATGTATGAGAGGAGTACGACAGTAGTGAGATGTACTGTAGGTCAGACAGAGGAGTTCAACGTGGAGGTGGGGCTACATCAAGGATTGGCTTTGAGTCCCTTCTTATTTGCTATGGTGATGGACAGGTTGACAGATGAGGTCAGACAGGAATCTTCGTGGACAATGATGTTTGCAGATGACATTGTGATCTGTAGTGAGAGCAGAGAGCAGCTGGAGGAACACCTGGGAGGTCTGCTCTGAGAAGAAGAGGAATGAAAGTCAGTGAGGTTACAAGGGGCTGAGGTCAAGAAGGTGCAGGAGTTTAAGTATTTGGGGTCAACAGTCCAGTGCGACGGGGAGTGTGGGAAAGAGGTGAAGAGGTGAGTGCAGGCAGGTTGGAGTGGGTGGAGAAATGTGTCAGGAGTGTTGTGTGACAGAAGAGTGTCAACAAGAATCAAAGGAAAGGTGTACAAGACGGTAGTGAGACCAGCCATGCTGTATGGGTTAGAGACTGTAGCAGTGAGGAAAAGACAAGAGGCAGAGATGGAGGTAGCAGAGATGAGGATGTTGAGGTTCTCTTTAGGAGTGACCAGGATGAACAGGATTAGGAATGAGCACATCAGAGGGACAGCTCAGGTCAGCTGTTTTGGGGACAAGGTCAGAGAGGCCAGATTGAGATGGTTTGGACATGTGCAGAGGAGGGATAGTGGTTATAATGGTAGAAGGATGTTGGAGATGGAGCTGCCAGGCAAGAGGTCAAGAGGAAGGCCAAAGAGGAGATATATGGATGTGCTAAAAGAGGACATGAAGTTAACTGGGGTGAGAGTAGAGGATGCCGAGGATAGAGTTAGGTGGAAACAGATGATTCGCTGTGGCGAGCCCTAACGGGAACAGCCGGAAGAAGAAGATGATACTTTCAGCTATTCCAGGTAGCAAAATGTTCAGCTCTTCAAGGACATTCATGTTTCTCTTCAGAATTTTTCTGAACATCATACTTTTGAAATATTTAGCATTAATTTGAAAATCTTGCCTCATTAAAATGAATGGGAAAATTCTGCTTCAGCATACTTTTAGCTATCAAAATGTTCAGCTCCTCAAGGACATTCATGCTTCTATGCAGAATCTTTCTAAACTTCATACTTTTAAAATATTTATCTTTATTCTGAAAATCTTGCCCCATTCAAGTGAATGGGAAAGTTCTACTTCAGCATACATTCAGCTAGCGAAACCATTCAGATGTCAAAATGTTCAGCATTTTCAGGGCAATCTTTCAGCACTCAACAGAAAATGCATTTCTCTAGCTATACTTGTCTGTTTCAATAAACAATTAAGTGTGACAGAGGTTTGGTGAGCATTCCCATAGAAGACCAGTATTCATGTAAAATGGTGGTGTGACCAATCACTGGGCCCCACAGTGGGAATCACGCTGTGCTGTCATAAATCTGCTGCGCCCCATGAAAGGAGAGACTATTCTCTAGGCCTAACCTAACACATATACTGACCTGTCATCCTTTTAAGTTGATTTAGACTACTAGTGTACCATCACCAATTCAAAGCATGGCTTGCCACATCTCAGGCTAAGCTGCCATGGCAGACCCCATTGGCTTGATAAACATTTTCATCTGATTGTCACACAGCCTACTCAGTAGCCCTGCTGTTATCTCCACATCCTGAATGTAGCTTCACTAGTCCTACTAGTAGCTGTTATATCAGTTATATAGTACCTGTTATATCAGACAATTACTACTCTCTGATCAGTGCACATTTGAAGAGTGCTTGAATCCCGTTCTCACCCGAGCAAAGAGCAGATACTTGGCAGCATATCTGATGTTCATTAGAGAACACTACGGCACCATCCCTCCTTGCAAGTTGGAGCATGCAAGCTACATCATTGGTTTCTAACCCACATAGCCCTTCCAGATGTGCTCACTAGGGCTGGATGAAGATATATGATGACAGCTTAGCCAGGAGAGAAAGATTTTGTTGCTTCTGTGGTGTTCTCCCTTTGAACGGATTAGACAGGGTGTGTATGTATTAGTTGGCCAAACCACTTTATGGAAAATGCTCTATATTGGGTATATATTGATGTAAGTCACTGGGTTAGACAAAACCAGACATGCCAACATGTTTACTTCATGTACACATTTAATTTATTTATTAATTTATTTCTTAATTGATTTTCCAGAACTATTGTGATTGTATATACATATGCTCATCCCTGTAGAAAACATAGCCTACTAGAATTTAGCTCCACTACCAAACCCAGGTTTGTTACAACATGTCACATTGAGAAATATGCAGTCTACAAAATGTACAAATGTGTTTGTGCCTCACCATTGAAGAACTTGATTATGTCAGTGAAGTCCATGTTGTTGTCCATGATGATCTCACGGTAAACTGTTACCAGGGCCAAGGCCAGGAACAGCACAAAGTACTGGGAGGAGATTCTGGGAGCCACCCATATCACCTCCCACACTGCAAACACATCCTCGTACAGGAGCTCTGCACACACGCACACAGACCCCATGAGGATGTACATACTCTGAAATGACAGTTATGTCCTCCACTCAGTGTTGTGTTTGTTTCTACATTTGGTCACAAGCAGTTCTTTTCACCTGCCACTCATGAGCTTCATCTGAATGTCCTGCATTTATGCTACCCACATCAATGGTAACCCCCACCATGCCAGCACCTAAACCACCCACTATGTTTGGTGCTGTTCAACAAGCATGAGTACACCTGGCAACTTCCCATGTGTAAACACTGCTGACTGTGCAAGTGTGATCAGGAGTCTGAATGCAGCTTAAGTGGAGACAGATCAATGAATTAGAGAATACAGGTCAATCAGAGTAAAGGACTGGTTGCTCACCTCTCTTGAAGTCCAACAGGAACCAACGGTAACAGAAGTAGAAATGAGTGTAATCTCCATTCTGCTGCATCAGCTCAAACAGCTCAGAGTCCAGGATCTGACAACAGAGAGTGGAGAAAACATCAGTGAGTTTTACTCCACATAAAGTGGATATATTAAAAGTCCTCTACAAAATCATTTACATGCTCTCTCTTTCTCTCTTTAGAGGACATTACATTGACTTCATTTCCTTGAGACCTACCCTAATGTTAAACTAAGTCACCACTCCAAAATATAATTATTTGCATGGGATGATATAATGTAATGATTTGAGGACTGGTTTTGTGTCCCCATAAGGATGTGTAGACCAGACAATGTGAGTGTGTAAATAGATTTACACTATGTCCCCACAACAGTAGTAATACAAGGCCACACGCACAGGGTAAAAATTATCACCTGGATCAGTGACCTCATGTTGGCAAAGTGTGCGTCCATGGCTCCACCGTTAGGAAAGTTCTGACTCATCCTCTTCATTAGCTGAGTGAAACAGCTGTATGCCAGACACTCTGACACACACACACACACAAAGACAGCATACAGGGTCATGTGTCCAGTGAACAAAGTAAAGTTACTGGTTTCTCTCTCATACACATTAACAATTGAAAACACTGTTGACAAACATAATTTCAAACATAAATGAGTGTGTGTTTCTGTATATGGTTTACAAACATACCGTTTAATGTCATAGTAATACTATATGCGTAAAAGAAATTGTACTTCATCAGACTAGTCACTTCTACTGAACTGAACCACAGTACATGTGTGTTATTTGAATTCTGTATAACTTAACACCAAGTTCATGCATAAACTGCACATGGCTTATATCAAATTTGTATGTCATCTGTTTGTCTTCAATCAGCCATACCAGCTGCAATTGTGTAACTGATACTAAAGGCTGTACTGTTTCTGAACTATTCACAGCAGTCACAGTCAGGAGATATACAGCATATGATGATTCTTTCTTCTCACCATCATCTAGGATGACCATGAGTGGAGCAAGCAGGTCACACATGCCCTGAACATAGCCCATCTCTAAATGCTCCCACACATAACTGCAGGCAAGAAGAAGACACACAAAGACAATAAAGAGCTTCAGCTCAACACAATGAAAGTGCACATTACAGGGAAGGTGTGTGTGGTTTCCAGTGATGAATGGAACTAAGTATCTTGCCTCAGCTGCTGTATTGAAGTATGAATTTTTAAGATACTTGACCTTTATTTGATTGTTTCCATTGATTCTACTTCTACTCCGCTGTATTTTGCACATACTCCAGCATGTTTTCTGACACCTGTATTTATTAGTTACAGTAATTTGCTTATTGTTTTTATATAGAACAATGAATGCACTAATAAGACACAATACATTGTTTGGGATAAAACTACTAGTTCTTGGAATATAAAGTACTTGACCCTAGTCCACCATCACCAGCTACAGTTCCCACATATTAACACGCCAGTATTAACAACCTACAGAATATTCTCAGTGTCTTCTGTTTACTCAAGTAACATTTTGAATGCAGGATTTGTAGATATAATAATTATAATTGTAATATATAATTTTAAGGTAATTACATTGTGGTACCGATCCTTTTATTTAAAGCTACACTAATAGATACTTTGGTCCCCACAAACAACACTTACATGTTATCACCTTTTTAGGTTGATACAGTGAACACAGAGCTGTGGTTCTGGCCACCTGTGGCTTCAGAAAATAATCACACTCACTCACTTGTTGCATACTTTGTGTTGTACATTTATTTTAAGGGATAATGTCTGTGACTTTCCATGCTCTATTTCATATAGGTTTCACCCTCTAAGTGCTGTTGCTATTGAGTTTATCCCTCGCGCATGCACAGTCCTGAAGAGATTCTTTCACACCCTGTGTCCTGCACTGGGCTGTCCCAAAACAGGTCCACTGTGGTGGCATAAATGCCAATATTACCTGTGATCGGCTCCCTTTTTATATTCCAGCAGGTAGAATGGCTAAAGAGCAAAGATCCACCAGCACTGGACTCCAGCACCGCACCGCCATCACTGTGTGCCCAGGCTGCGGCACCCGCTTCATCATGCCCAGTGATCTGCACCCCCACTGCCTTGATGCTGAACATGCCAAGCTGGCTCTCTCCCTTCAGGCCGCTTGCCCCTTCTGAACTTGCCTGCCTGTGGCAGAGAAACAGCAATGAGCTGAGGATTTCGCTGTTGCTAGAGAGCGGGACCCAGATGATGACAGCAGCTGGATGAACCGCAGTGACGGTCCGCTGGCGGATGATCTCCAGTAGTTCCTCAGTGTGGGCGGGCCCAAGTGACTTGCTTCCTTCTGTTGCCAGCTCCCCCAGTTCTCCCCTCGATCCTCTGGTCAACATGGGCGCCAGTGGAGACGAGCGACCTCTGGCTGAGCAGCACGCTCCTGCCTCCGGTCAACCTCCAGCATTTGGGGTTCTGCACTTCATGACCTGCTGGAGATCAACAATAAGGCAGCAGACCATAAGGGCAGCTCTCTCCTGCCAGCTGCCCCTGTCCCCCTCCATTAGATATGATAGAGGGGGACGGAGCAAACATCCCCCTGTCTGGCCCGAGTTTCCCGCCAACCGGCCCTTCTTTTCTGAGGAAGCTGAGCAACCTGGAAACCTACAGGCTCTGGTTGCCCACTTCGGGCCACTCATCAGAGCCCAGGGGATGACTGACCCACTGTCCCACCACTGTAAATGAGTATCTTCTCCATCCTGCTCCCCAAGATGGTGTTCTTTGGCAAAAGACGGCTGACACCACCGCTCTATTGTGACCAGTTCATCGCCTGCCTCACAGACCGCATTGACCAATGCACCTCCCAGGCCGGGGCCATGATCAGCAACATTTCTCTCCTCTCTGTATCTGTTTCCTCCCTCGCTGCCCAGCCTGGGGCTCTCTCTAAGCAGCAGAGGAGATTGGCAAGGCCATGGCAGCTGCTCTGACACTCTGCACTGCAGCCGTGGCTATGGCTCGCATCAAGGCGTAGGCCACAATGATCCAGCACAACATGTACATCTGCGACATATGCGTATGTCCCAGATGCTGGAGCAGACCAGGAAGAGTCTGCTGGAAGGTCCCATCAGCCTCAAAGGTCTCTTCAGTCCGCACCTCCAGGAAGCCATCGCTCATCTGCAGCAGGCAGCTGATTAAGCAGACTGGGTTTGATGGATAGCATCATGGGGATGCAGCAACCCCAGTCCTCCCAGTCAGACTGGTGTAGTCATGGTGGACAGCATCACAGAGTCAGGCGCCCAGCTGCTGCTGCTGCCTTTTCAGGGCCACCATCTGGTTCATAAAGAGCAGTTTTCTGACAGTTGTTTCTCCTCGTTCTCTGGGTGTTCACTGTCTTCTCTCACACACCCTGTCTCTCCACATCAACTGTCTGGAACTGGCCATGGTTATAAAAGTTCTAAAACATTTTGCACCACTGAGAGGCAAACACGTAGTGGTGTGAGTAAACAATACAACAGCAGTCATGTACATCAACCGGCAAGGCGGTGTTTGTTCTGCCCGGCTGCTGGAGATTGCATGCGATCTCCTGCTCTGGAGTCATCAGTACCTGCTCTCCCTCAGAGCTGTATACGTCCCTGGCATGCCGTGGATCTTATGTCATGAGGCGGACCTCAGCCCAGCAATTGGAGGTTGAATCCTTCCCTCATTCAGATATTGTGGGACAGTTTGATCGAGCTGTGGTAGACCTGGTGCAGCACGAGGGAACGTGTAGTGCAATATCTGCGTTCCTTCCTGTCCCACTGATCCCACAACTCCTCTCATGCATTCAGGACCAACGGTTGCACATCCTCCTGATAGATCTGGAGTGCAGCTTGGTTTCCGACCCTGGTTCTGCTGCTGGTGGGTGACCCCTGGCAGCTGCCGTGGCACGGGG